TCTTCTATCTAGCTCAACCCCCTGTCCAAGCAAGAGATCCTATACCATTCTAGAGAAGTGACTGTCTAATCTCTTCTTAAAATCCTCCACTGATGGAGCACTCAACTTTTGGAGGCCGGCCATTGCACTGATTAATTGTTCTAAATGTGAGGAAATTCTCCTTAGAGTTGCATCTCTGATTAGTTTCCAGTCATTGCTGCTTCTTCAGCCTTCAGTTGCTTTGCAAAATAGTTTGTCTCCCTCTTCTTTTTGAAAAGATCTGAAATATTGGAAGACTGTCATCCTGTCACCTCTAGTCCTTCTCTTCCTTTGACTAGCCCAGGGGTAGGCAACCTTGGCTCTTTTATGACTGGTGGACCAACTCCCAGAATTCCTGAGCCAGCCTGGCTCAGCTTGGAAACCTCTCTTTCCACTCAGCATGCCTGGTTCAGGAATTCTGGGAGTTGAAATCCAGGAGTCATAAAAGAGCCAAGGTGACCTACCCCTAGACATAAACATTTCTTACAACCATTCCTCTTGTTTTAGCTTCCCTTCCCCTAATCATCTTTGTTGCTCTTCTCTGCAACCTTACTAGTTTTTTCTCTAGCGAGGTACAAAATGTACAAAACCCCTAAGATGGAGTTTGACCCAATTTGGAATTTTTAAACAAGTTCATGAATAGATTGTTTGAAAATGCATTTCAAAAAAATTATAAATTGATTTGCATTTTAATGAGTGAAATAGGGATGGGCTACGGAGCCACAGAGTGCACTGGTCGAGGGGCCATCAGGCTGTGGCTGCTGACGAACACCGTCGGCTCGCTGGCCTCTGTGTGGGGGGCTGATGGTGTGGGGCAGCAGCTGCCCCGGCCCCTGCCTCACCTTGCCTTGCCCCACGGCAATGGCACCCCGCCCTGCTCCCTGCCTCACCTCACCCCGCAGGACGAGTCTCCTGCCTCCTACCCCACCCGCCAGAAACCTCCCCCAATCCTTCCCAGCCCCAAGTGTCCCTCCCCACGAGCAACATTGAGGTGGCCACGCCCACTCTGGCCACACCCACCCAGCATCCAGCCATAAATAAGCCATAAACTGAGTTACAGTTTGGGCACTTGGTCTCTAAAAGGTTCGCCATTACTGCTATACATCACCTCCCCTCATAGGATTTGTATGTGTCCGGTAGCTCTAATGATGCAGAGCGTATAACCTATAACATTGTTCCTTGGGCCACCAGACTTAACACGGCCTCCTCCTAGAATGGCTTCCTATTGTTGCTTTGGCAGTGAAGGGTGGGTGGGTGTAAATATATTCACCAGGGTGAGCAATGCCTCACATTGGGGGTTAATTCCATTTCCTGAAAGGGGGGCTGAGGCCATCTTTGGTCCAAAACTACCACCAGATCGTCCTACCTGCCCAAGTTAGACTTTGCCCTCCCTCCCTCCCTAAAAAAATCCTTTTCGCTTCATGTGTTGTATCCACACAACCACGGGAGTCCCTTCACCAAGGGCAGAAGTGCCAGAAACCATGGATAAAATAATGATTTAGCTGAGGGATTCGTATTTTTTCTGCTGAAGACTGATCCCCGCTGTGGAGGATGTGCTAGGGGCAAAATTGAATTTTACCTCACATACATACATACATACATACATACATACATACATACATACATACATACATATATATATATATCTTCCTGCCATTTCTTTAGTAGTGCACTGATTGTCCAAATAGATATTGTTTAAAATACATCAGTCTCTAGGTAATATAGTTATTTTTAATTATAGAAATTCTACCCAACGACAATTGTAATTGTTTTTCCATCTTAACAAATCCTTCTTGATTTCACTCCATGCCTTGTCATAATTATTTTGATATAGAATTCGTATTCTTTGTAAGAATACCCAAATGTCTTACTTTTCTTTTAAATCGCTTTTCCCATCAATTCTTTTTGGTCTTCCATTTTCATATTTTGGTGAACGTCTTTGTCTATTCACCATTGATTTTAAAACCAGCTAATGCACTAAAATCCGTTAATTTTTCCATTAATATTATGATTTCTTCCAAAAGGTCTTTCAAAACGACCATAACATTATAATCAAAGCCCTTCTTACTTCCGGGTTTCCATCTGCTGCGCTCTAGGATACATATTCTATGCTTGTACAGGGAGTCCTTGACTTACAACAGTTCATTTAGTGACCGTTAAAAGTTACAACGGCACTGAAAAAAAGTTGATTTATGACCGTTTTTCACAGTTACCACCTTTACAGCATCCCCATGGTCATGTGATCAAAACTCAGATGCTTGGCAACCGGCTCCTACTTATGACCGTTGCTGTGTCCCATGGTCACGTGATCCCCTTTTGCAGCCTTCCTTTTGACATGCAAAGTCAATGGGAGAAGCCAGATTCACTTAACAACCGCGGGACTAACTTATCAACTGCAGTGATTCACTCGGCAACTGTGGCAAAAAAGGTTGTAAAATGGGGCAAAACTCACTTAACAAATGTCTCACTTAACAACAGAAATTTTGGGCTCAATTGTAGTTGTAAGTCGAGGACTACCTGTATATATAAGAATATATATTCTTAGAATCACAGAGCTACAAGGGACCTATAACAGAATAACAAGAGTTGTAGTCTTCTAGTCCAACCCTCTTATATGATTCTGGAGAATTTCACATTAGATTTTCACACTCACATTAGACTTTCATATTCACTTCTTAAAATTAAATTTATTTTAAAAATTATAAAAAATTTAAGTTGGCAACAAAATTTCCAAGGAGACAATTTCAAACGGACAAACTCCAGGAGGCAAGATGTTCCAATTGGCAAGTTTTCTCACGCTACACACTTGTCGAGGTTTTTCTTCTGTGTGGATTTTTCATTGTGCATCTGAAGATCTGATTATCAGATGAAAACCTTTGCAACATCCTAAGCCCTGATAAAAGTTTCTCTCCAGTAAGAATTCACTGATGCTGAAAAAGAGTATTTTTTCAGGCTAAACATACATCACACTCCAAATATTTATGCTGCATCTTTCCTATATGGATCAGAGCAGGGGTGTCAAACTGCCAGCCCACGAACCGGATGCATCATAGCAAAAGTGCACCCACCCCATTGCCGGCAATGGCAAAAAAGTCACAACACGTCATGAAAGATCACATGACATTGCGAGTTTGATACCCCTGGATTAGAGTATGATTTTTAAGGGATGAATGACAAAAAAAATGCTCTCTCATGATCTAAGAGTTTCTAATTCCCCCCCACCCCCACCCCTCTTTAGGAACTCTTACATGACTTCTAAGGGTTGAACAACTATAAAAAACTGGTCCACCATCAGGGCGTAAGGCCTTTTCCCATTTGAGTTTTCTGATATCTCCCTTTTAAGCAAAACATTTCTACACACTATGAGTCTTTATGGCTTCCTTCTTTTATGGACCTTTTGATGACTTCCAAGGTGTTGTTTTTGGGAAAAGCATCTCCCACACTCCACACATTTATAGGGCTTCTCTCCTGTGTGGATTCTCTGATGTATCCGGAGTTCAGCAGACACCAGAAATCGCTTGTCACATTCTGGGCACTGATAGGGCCTGTCTCCGGTGTGAAGTCTCTCATGTCGAGTTAGGCTTGTCCTTTGGGCGTAACATCTCCCACACTCCGGACATTTATATGGTTTCTCTCCACTGTGTGTTCTCTGATGTAACAAAAGGCTATATCTCCTAGAAAAACATTTATCGCACTCTGAGCATTTATGGGGCTTCTCTCCTATATGGACTTGCCAGTGACTTCTAAGATGAGATGAATTAATAAATGCTCTCCCACAGTCTAAACATTTGTATTTTTTTTCCCCTCTATGAATTCTCTTATGCTTTCCGAGGTTTGATATTGAACGAAAAAAATTTCCACACTCGATGCACTGATAGGGTTTCTCCCCTGTGTGGATTATCTGATGTAGAAAAAGACTTTTCTTTAGAGCAAAACATTTCTCACAATCGTTACATTTATAAGGTTTTTCTCTTGTGTGCGTCTTTTGGTGTGTCCAAAGTGTGGAATGACTCCC